CTCCCTCTGCCTCTGCCTCCGCCTCCGCCCCATCTCCTTCCCTCTCACCTCCCACCCTGACATTGCCTCTCCCTTCCCTGCCCCGCACTACTTTTTTAATCTGTCCCTCCTTCTTTATGCCTCCCTGGTCCTCTATTTTCCTGCCTCCACTCAGGGAACCTAAATGAAAAAGCAGCACATTATTTCCACAGGCTGCACTGTGCCGCCCTACCTTTGTCAAACCCGAAACCTCATCTTCCCTGGCTGATTTGGTCCTTTGTTAGAGCCGTAAGGATCCAGGGCATGGACCGTAAGAGGGGCTCAAGGTCAGAAAGACAAAGCCAGCTGGGGCTCCAGGCACCATTAAGGACCCTGGGAGCAGAGCGATTAGAACGGGCCTTCCCTTCTCCTAAGACTCCACTGCGAGTATCCTCCCGCATCCAGGCATCTTTCAGGAGCATGTCAGCCGTGGAGAGAAAAAACGCGCCTCTAGGTTGATCTGACCTCAGACTTTTCCATAAAGGTCTCAGGACACGGCCCAAACAACAGGGCGATGGAAATATAGCAACAGACATAGGTCAACCCACTCAACACACGTTAGCTATGTTTCTTATTTTAAATGGATCATAAAATAAATAGCACATGCCCTGCTTTTACTGGAACTACTTTTTTTGGCGGGGGGGAGGGGGAGGCGTTTTTGAAATAACTTTAATCCTCAGGCAACGAATTCTGGGTAAGCCAATCGTAATGGCCTAATGGCTTTCTCCACCATCCACTGGAAAGCCTGCAGCCAGGGAGCTCTGGGTTCAAGCGCCACCTCGGCTACTTATCGGCTGTGAAACCTTGGGCCAGGAGCTGAGCCTGTCTGTGCCTCAGTTTCCCGGTATGTAAACTAGGATCACTAAACTACCTCGCACACACCAGCTTGCTCAGACTATAACGGATCCCTGAACAGCCTCGTCATCATCGTTACATGAATGTTCAACATGTCAGACAGTCATCTAAGCGCTTTACTTAACACAACTCCAAGATGTAGTAACTGTTGTGCACTTCAATTTACAGATGGACAGAGGAGTCGAGTAACTGGCCCCAGGTCACACAGCTGAGCGGCGGATGCAGGACTCACCCCTACACCATTCAATCTCTGATGTCAGGCCCAGTGGCCGGCAAAAAGTTAACTGTTCTGCACCTCACTCATTAGGATGATTATAATGATACTGGTTTTATTTTTGTAAGAGCCATTGCTCAGAAGGGTGATTTTATTTTGCCTTTGAATTCAATTACAGTCCTAGGGGCACTAAGCTTGGTATAATAGCTTATCTTTCTGCCTGCTACCCACTCTCCTGGCATTACAGAGAATGCCAGGCTGAGGAACTGCCTACACGTGACTCAATGGGTCAGGCTGCATTCTCTGGGCCAAAGTGGCTGGGGGGTATCTCCCTTCCAGAATGGCTGGCAAGCCTCTCTGTGGCCGGGGCCAACTGCAGACTGACAGGCACCACCTGTCCCTCTTGACTGGGGAACGGTGGGGGCAGAGGGCCGTGCTACAGAGAGAGCAACGCTCCTCAGCCTGAAATTCATATGCCCACCTCCAACCATTCCAACCATTCCAAGCAGCCTCCGGGCCAGGCCGAGGCTGCCGTCCCCAGCCTGTCGCTCCGGCTCCATCCCCTGAGCATCGACAGGTGCTGAAGTCCAAGGTGCTCACAGGCAGCTGCCCAGCCCCAGAGCGGGAGACCCGTGATTGTAGCTGGTACCTGGCAGCACCCAGCGTTTTCACTTCGGTGGGAGTGAGCTGTTGGACTTTGTTCCATTGAAAGTTGCCCTCGCCAGAGCCTGGGCAAACAGAGGTGGGAAGCAGGGGGCAGCGAGGACCCTGCCTATCCTGATGCCAAAGCCTCATGCAGCCCCACCCTGGATGGGCTCTGCCAGCCAAGTCACTCAGGCAGCTGAGGTGTGGCCCTCAGTCCCGCTGGGCTCCAGGAGCACCCCTTCGGGGTAAATCCAGCACCCTGGCTGGAGGGCGGAGGCTGGTCACCTCTTCTGCAGCTTCACAGCAGCTGCCCCCATATATTACTCAGTCCAGCAACCTCAGCGTCTCAACCACAGGATTTTAGACAAAAGGTCATAGAAGAAAACAGATTCAACTGGCCAAGAACACAGGCTTAGGGGCACTACAGCTCTGGGTGTGAATCACTCATCTATTCTCAAGCCATTAAGACCTGGGCAAGGTGCACAACTTCTGCGAGCCTCAGTTTCTCATATGTGCAATGGACACAAAAACCAGGTTAGATAGAACCCCAACCCTGGAGACCATCGGGGCTGCAGGACTGAAACAAACTGGGCCCCCCAAATTCCAACTCTTAGGACTTGCTCGAAGCGAGGAGACACGAAGGCAGTCTGTGCAGTCAGGAGAGCAGATATCAGGAGCAGGAGGCACTGAGGGTCTGGGCTACTGGGAATGTCCTATTTCTCGCTCTGGGAGCTGGTTAGATAGGTGGACTCCCTTTGTGAAAAAACACTAAATTGCACACTTATGCTTCCTGTACTTTGCTGCTTGTATAATATGCTATTTTCAATTTTAAAATTTTACTAGAAAAACAAATCAAAAAAAGCTTCTGCAAGGGACCCATCAACTGGCCTGCCTTTTGCTCAAAGTGAGAACTGTGGCTTTGAACACGCCGGGCATTTTCCCATGTGAGCCCCCTTTACCCAGGGGGCATATGTATAAGGCCATCCCATATGGCACAGTCATATTTTCAGACCCCTCGTGGACTCAGACGTCACCCTATCCAGAGATGCCAACACATCCTAACTTTCACAAATATTTATTGAGAAGCTACTGTGTACCAGGCATGGATCTAGATAGGAACAAAAACTATTGGGTTGTCGGAAAAGTCATGACGTATTTTTTCTATGTTTTTCATTGCAAAAATGCGTCATGCCTTTTCTGACAACCCAGTAAGAATGTCCCGTCTTTTAAAAAAAATAAAAGAAAGCTTATTTTGTGGGCCTGAAGAGAAGAAAGGAACAGGTGCCACTTATGGAGGCCCTGCTGTTACAATAATGGCACCTGGGGTGGTGCATTTGCTATATAATCTGAACACCACTGCAAGGTTCAGACTTGCCCAGGTGGTCCCTGAGGCCTTCCTGCCCCCAGACCTCCGGTGCAAACCACCCAGTCCATGTGCCAAACAGAGGCCCAAAGCCTTCTCTAAGATTTTTTTTTTTCCCTCCAAGATCTTTTGAGGCAATTAGCACAGAAGGGCTCTGGAGACAGATAATATGGATTCAAACCTTAGCTGTGTGCCTTCAGGTGTCTGAGCCTCTCTGTGCCTCAGTTTTCCCATTTTCACATGGGAGAAATGATTATCCCTCAGGGTTCTGTGAGGATTAAATAAGACAACTCGGTAAAATGCTCGGAACAGTGCTCGGCATAGAGTAAGCACTCAATACACTTGGGCTGCTACCGTCTTCATGGTTTCTGCAAATTCCTGGGGAGCTTCCTGCCCTTCCCTCAATGTCCTTCCATGAAATATACGCCAGTCTTCATTTTCCACAAAGCATCCATTGTGGTCTCCATTGGTCATTTATCTTCTCGCCCCTCTCAGAAACAGGGAGACTAGGAGAGAGAAAGATGGGCAGAAAGATGAAGGGGTGGGAAGGGTAGAAGAGAAGGGAGGAAGAGAGCCCACTTTCCTTGTACAGCCATTTTGTGGCTGCTTTGGCTCCTCCCAAGATCTATGCTGCCCAATATGGCAGCCCTAAGCCACATGTGGCTCCTCAGCACTTGAAACGTGGCTCATCTGAACTGAGTTGCGCTGTAAGTGTAAAGTGTACACCCGATTTCAAAGATTTGGTATGAAAAAAAGAATGCAATATACCTCCATGATTTTTTTAATATATTTTGGTTATACTGACCTAAATACAACATATTATTAAAATTAATTTCACCTATTTCGTTTTACTCTTTTTTGAATGTGGCTATAGAACATTTAAAATTACATATGTGGCCTGTATCATATATACACACACACACACACACACACACACACACACACACACACACACAGTAGGCAGTGCTATTCCAGCTTATCGAGGTATTTTCCTATCAAAGGCAGTTCTTGCCTTCAAAGGAATTTTCATCCCAGCTCTTAAGATAAGTGTTTCATCTCAATACATAAAAACATTTTAGACAAAATTCCATGGATGTATAAACTGGGAGTGATGAAGTGACTTTTGCCTCAGGGCACGTGTTGGAGTCAGAACCTGACTCCAGGTCTAACTAGACGCCAAGCTGAGTTCTTCCCAATACTGGACACTAACTCACCCATATCTCTAATTCTCCTCATTAAAACAATGGCCTCTTCATGCCATCACCCCAGGAAAGAATGAAAACCTAACAATTACTTGCCACTGGGATCACCAATGGGTGGCTGCTTTTGTAAAAGGTAAAAAGGGTAAGATTGATACCGCTAGGGGAGACATGGCTTAAACAAGGTGTGGGTGACCTTTTGCTGAGATAAAATCAGGATGTGTGACATTGTGATGCCTTTAATACCTGGGCCTACGTGACATTTGCAGTCTTAGCTCCTTCTTATGCAGAGCACAGTCAAGGAACCCGAATCAGGGATCTAATTGCTACAGGGGAGGTCACCAGGGGCCAAGCACACTGTGCTTCGCATGAACTAAGAAGGAGTCTTCCCAATACCCTGTGAGACATGGATACTTTACGCCCATTTTACAGATGAGGAAACCAACTCGCAGGAAGGCTAGTGATTTGCCCCGTCACCCAATAGTAAGTGACCCCCGGTCTCGGCTCTGGCAGTCCCCTGGGCTAAAATGCCCTTCTTCTACCAGCAAGGTGCGGCTCAAACCACCTTTTCCGTAAACACTGCTCTCCCTTTTCATGCATCCACTCCTTCCTTTGGTCACCCATGAACTTGAAACACCATCTCTCCTGTACTTAGCACAAAACGTTAGAATGAGTGGCTTATGTGTCTATTACCTCCACCATCAGTCGGAACCTCTTCATAGGAGAAGCTATGACTTACCCATACATGTATCTTCGGTTCCCGGCACAGTATCAGGCACATAGGCATTACTCAAAAAATATCTGTTGAGTCAATGAAATAATCAACCAACCAATGCATCGTGACACCCTGTTTTTTTCTCTGAGCACCTTTTCCCAACCGGCTTCCCTCTTCTACGTCCCCATGTGCCTCCCCACAGGTGGCTCGTCCACCAATCTGTTTGCGTGGAGACAGGCCAAGTGCCTCGCTTTAGACTGAGGCTTGGTAACACCAATTGTCACCTCTCCACTTTTATTAATTGCTGGGTTAATCAAGCACTCCAAACTGTGCCCACCCACGCTAAATAACATGAAAGCATTTCTGGATGTCCAAAAAAAAAAAAAAGATAACAGGTTTAAGCTGAAGCAAAAGACAGCAACTCACAGCCTTTTGGGCCCTACACGGCTGCCATACTCCTCAGGATATTTAGGTCCAAGTCAGGTCAGATGGAAGAACAGTCTTGACCAAAATCGCAGCCATCCACAGCTTCTACACAGCAGAGAGGTATCAGAGTGAACGTGGACGAACTTTCTCATTTGAGCCCCTCACAATCTTACAAGATTGCTGTTCTTATGCAAGCTTTCAGATAAGGAAACTGAGGCTCAAGGGAAAAATACACTACAGCCTTGCCCAGGGTCACTAAGCTAGAACAGAGAGCGCTAATATTGAGGCCTGTTCCTTCTCACTGCACAAGCCCCGCCTAGCCCTGCCACCAGGACCTGCAGATCACACTCTTGTCTCCTCCTGGTGGCCTGGCTCACCCCACCCCACCCCCCTGGCACATTCTGGTCACTTCAGTAATGAGGATCTGCCAGGTGCAGTGGAAGCTTTCTTCCCTCTGTGCAAGTTTTGCCAAACCTCGCAGACATAACAGGCGGAGATGTTTTCACCCGAACCGTCAGCTAGATCTTGCTTTCAAATTCTGGATAAACTCTTCACAAGAACGTCTTTTGTCCTCTCTGCTTCTCTTACTTATGACATAGGCCTCGATGCAAGTATGTCCCTCTCGCTCACACATGCCAGCTATGCCCCATTTTGTGGGAAATACGCAAGCAAAGGGACAGAAGAAAGAGGGAAAGATTTATTTTATATGTTGATGTGCTTTTCAGGCTTCTGACTGCAAAGAATAAATGTTATCCTTTCATCTCAAATTGTCCCCTTCTACTTCATAAGCAGCATTTTTTTTTTTTAAACATTCAATAAAGATGCCACAAGGGCCGCCAGGCCCACTCGCAGTGACATCCCCTGACAGGCTCCCATCTGGACAGTCTAACGCGCAGATGCCTTCTCCTGTACCAGATTCCCAGCAGCATAGTTACAAGGTCCCCTGGGGCTAGAAAAGACGTTCCATGCACAAGACACGCTGCACGGCCTACTGTCCAGCTTAACGAGCAAAACAGCTCGAAGCCTGCAGCGGGCCCAGGAGCCCCCGTGGGTCCCCATGCTAAGTTGCCAAGCGCAGTCACCTCCAGCTCCCCGACTAAGCACGTAGAGAACTCCAAGGGAAGGTGTCGGCGTGGGAAGCCTGATCTGAGCCTTGCCACCTAGAGAGGAGCTGAGAAACGGAAGGCAAAACAATTAGGATTATAATCAAGTTTCTCAAAGGTAGGTAGGAAACTGACCCCTTTCTAAGGGGAGGGGGAAGCCGGTTAAAAAGCACAGGTCTCATCTTTACACATTTGAAATTTGTAATTTGAAAATTGAAACTTCATAAATCGAAAATACATTTCAATTGCAAAAGATCACAGCAACAAATTATGGCAATGTTCTCTTGTTTGAGTGTCATCAAAATATAAACCCCCAACTGAAAAAGTTGTATGCATTTAGCAACCAGAATACAGACCCCCAAAGAACCCACCTTGAAAACGGCCCATCTACAGAGTCCGTTTCACCCAGGTTAAGCTTGAGGGTTAGGGAAACACGTTTACAAGTTAGTTAATGAAATAACAAACCTAAAGTGGGTGACCCCTACCTGTGCATGAACATGTCAACACTGACCTCCGGGGCTTGTTCTCCTGGACACTAGGCTGGTGCTACAAAAGCCCCCAGGGCAGTAACAACCAAGATGGGCAGTTGCCATGGGAGAAACGTTTCATACACTTGTTGAGTGGGTGCTAACGCCCTTTCGACACCAGCAAAATCACCTCTGCCCTTCAATACTCCTTGTCCTTCTGCTTCGTAAAAAGCACAGTGACCCAATGTAAATGAAACGCCTCTGTTTAAAGCCTGTCTAACTTCCATCCAGAGCTTGCCAAGCGGCTACCACTTCTGCCCCCAGCAGTTATAAAGGGGTTGGTGATGGAAGCACAGGCCAGCCAGGGGACATCCCAGCAGGGGGCGCTGTTAAAGCTTTGGAAAAACACCGCGATGCCATTCATCCAGGAATGCTAGGGCCCCTCTCATCAGGGCCACCAGAGCAGCAATACTGACCTTTGTCATATAAAATAACTAAAGACGGTAAGTAATGCACTTGGCACAGAAAAGTCCCATAGATCCCACAGAGAAATAAAACGCGCTTAATTGCCTCAGTAAGCATTTCCAGCGAACGCCTGAGATTCAATCTTGCGACAACAGGTGCACATTCCCTGCTCACGAAACTGAGCCGACATTTTAATGTTCTTCCCTTGTTCTTCTACTTTCTTTGCTAGGATTACCTTGAACTTCAAGAGCCCCGAATTATGGAGATTTCATCAGACTGATCGAGCACTCTTTTAATTTATCGCTCCATAATCCAATTTTCCTCACATTGGACCACAAATCACCCCGGCCTCTTCACAAATCCACAGGGGCCATGAGGCATGGCACACAAGCTGGATGAATTATGTTGAAAATGCAAAAACTCGTCACTTTGGGCTCCAGTTTCCGAATCATTAACACGAGAAGGTTGGGTCAGAACATCTCTAAAGACCTCCTCGGCCGCCAGCCCTGGAGGAGCCAGTGCCGCGGGAAGCGGCTGCTATCTTAATGTTGCAGCCTCCGCAGCTTCAGACTCTTTCCATGTTGGATGATGGAAGAGGCAGTGCATAGGCTCCAGGGCCGGGCTGTGGCAAGGGGACTGCCGCTCTAGAGCCAGGCCCATGCTTGGTCACCCACTTGCAACCGCCCTGTGAGGTAGGTTTTATTTTCTCTGTTGTAGAGCTGAGAAAATTAAAATTCAATGAGAGCAAACAACTCTCCTGGGGTCACAGAGACTGTGGGCAACAGAGGCCCAGAATCAACGATTTCTCAACCCCTCCCATCCCCGGCACCCTGGCCCAAGTCACCCTCATCTCCTGCCTGAATGAAAGCAAGCCCCTCCTCCGTGGCCTCCCAGCTGCCATCTTTGCTCCCAGTGGGCAATCCTCAACCCAGAAGCGGCCCAAGTGACCCTGACAAACGAGTGGGCTCATGCCACTCCTCCAGTGGCCCCCGGTCCACCAGACCCTGACTACTGGGCCTCCATTTCCCTGTGACCTGCTCCCCTACTGCTTTCCTCCGCGCCGCCTCCCTTCTCATCACTGGACCTCCTTGTGATCGCTCAATTAGCAGATGAGAAACAGCCTCAGGACCTTTGCGCTGACCTCAGCCTCACCTTTTCCTCAGATATCCCATGACTCATTCCTTCACCTTCTCTGAGAACCCCTCCCTGAGCAACTTAAACCTGCAGACCACACACACACACACACACACACACACACACACACACACCCCCCCCCCTCCTTCCCCTCCCACCTGTGGCTTTTCTGTCACCTTCTCTGAGAACCCCTCCCTGAGCAACTTAAACCTGCAGACCACACACACACACACACACACACACACACACACACACACACCCCACCCTCCTTCCCCTCCCACCTGTGGCTTTTCTGTCTCCATGGTACTTGTGAGAAAGCAGCATGGAGAATCATGTACTTGTGACACCATAAGAGACGCAGTATGTTTTACTTCTTTTGTTGGTTAGTCTGTCTCCCTCAACTAGAACAGAAGCTCCCTGAGGACAGGGACTTTTATCACTCAGTTTACTAACAGACCCCTTGCACTTAGAGCAGAGCCTCGCATAAAGTTCTGCTCAATAAAGACTGGTGTGATGAATCAGAAGAAAAAAACCTGAAGACCTAGATGAAGGTCCGCCATAGGGTGGTGTCTGCTCACCACACCAGCACACTCGCCCTCAGCTAGAGTGTAAGCCCCCTCAGTCAACACTGCTTTCCTCCATTTCCGTGTCACTTCCTTGCCACGCTGCCAGGCTGCTGGGAGCGCATTCCTTCAAAGCACAAGCACGCGCACCTTTGCAAAGAACGTCATCCCGTGTCTCCACATGTAGCACCTCTTTCCTCGGATGGCGTTAAAGAGTGCGGTCTTCACACACAGCTACGGTTTGGGGAGAGCCAGCCCCGGAGAAGCTGCCAACTCACCAAACCCCGCATTTCTTTTGAGGCCCTAACCCTGTGCCGGCCCAAGCGAAGAGCCCAACATGGGAACTTGCCACATCCGAGCAACTGTTGAGTTTGGCTGGAATGTCATGACTAAGCGAGGCATAAATCAGTGGGAGACCAGGCGAGGCCATATGGGGGAGGCCCTGAAAGGCTAGATGCCACCATCCTGCAGAGCTGCCAGATTCTCGAGGTCACCGCTTACACCACCGAGGGTTGGCAGCCTAGCCTTGAATCTGCCTGACCAGGATAAGAAGGCCTCCCACCTCCCGCCAATCACTGTCTTAGTGGAATTCACACACAGACTCCAAAAGCCAACCCTTCTCTCCAAGGGACAATGACAGGCGCACCTCTAGGTCTCCTGACTGCTCAGATCAGCCTTCTTCCTGCTCCCTGAGGCCCGGGGCCCCTGCAGCTTCTAAGGAGCCAGGCAAGCATACAGCAGTCACTCTGAGCCTGCGACGGTACCATCAGCACCTGCACTCATGAGGCTTTCCACCAAAAACTCGTTTTGTTCTTACAGGGGCAGTAAGAACCTTGGGGAAACAGAAGTGATCACTGGCACGTGTGTGAGTGCTGAGCTAGGCAGTTTCCAAATGATAACGCCTTTCATTGTAATGCTAGTATCCCCATTTTACCCATTACAAACTGAGGCTCAGGTGATGGGAGGTAATTCACTCGAGCTGGAAAGCGACCGAGTTTGTGTTCACGCCCCGTTTGGTACGGCACAAGTGTCTGTTCCCCAAGCGGCGCTGCCTTTCGCAGAACCAAGCAGAATCGATCCCCTTTTAAGTTGCTGAAAACAGAATTAAGTTGTTGCTGATCCACTGTGTCGCAAGCTGGTATCCTAGGTGACCCTCTGCAGAGGGAGGCAGCTGAACCCCAGCCTCTGTGACTTGAGCCCAGGAGCCTGGTGGAATGGCCCAGGGAACGGAGCCAGATACCCTCCCGTTCGACGGCCAAATGATACGGTGGAGGGAACAGGACCTGCAGTTCTAAGCGCCACGTTCAAATCAACCCTCTCTAAGCCTCAGTCTTGTTCATCTGTGAAATGGGAATGTTTATCCCACGTTGACA